TAAAGTTATGTATGTTTTTCATAATTGTATTATCTCATGAATTTTTTTATTTTTATTTTTTATCTGTACAGTGACTTTAAAAAGCAATTTAAGTATTTTGGTCAAAGGAAATCAACTTTAGTCACATAAGTAATGTTATTCAGTGGATTCGAAAATATATGCTTATAAAATTTTATTATAATTGGATTAATGTTTACAAAACTATGTATATTTTTCATAATTGTATTATTTCACAATTTTTTTTATTTTTATTTTTTATTTGTATAGTAACTTCAAAGAGCAATTTAAGCATTTTGGTCAAAGAAAATCAACTTTGATTACATAAGTAATATTGTTTAGCAGGTTCAAAAATATGTATATATAAAATTTATTATGATTGGATTAATGATTGTAAAATTATGAATGTTTTTCGTAATTGTATTAGCAATTATCTGATTTGCAGATTTATTGCAACTTGTAATTTTAAATTTTACAGTTAAAATAATTATATTAGTATTTTTTTTTTTGAAAAATAATCAAATATAAAAATGTATCAATATTTTTTTATATTTTTTTAAAAAAATATTAATAATTATTTAGTTTCTTTTTTTAGATAGATCGGTCAGGTCAGGTCAGGTCAAATATATATATTTAATTCAGTTCAATTTTATGTTTAACCCAACCAGACCTTATCAGGTTGAATCAAGTCAATTACTCAACTTGACCTGATCTTTTTGAAGCTTTAACCTAAACTTGTAATAGGTTTTCTTAAACTTAATTAATTTAATCAAATTTTGAATTTAAAAAAAAAGTTATTTTAAAAGTTTTATAAAAGTTTCTAAATTTTTAAGATACACGTTAAAAATTTCAAATAGTATTATTAGTCTTAAATAAGATTGCTTGTTTAATCTTGTTTTGAATTTAGCTAAACGTTTAAATCTTTAATTTTGCTAAATTTTTATTAAGTATTTGATATAATTTCATCATAGATTTTTTAATAAGGATTTAATATAATTTAACCAAGTTTTATATTTACCTTTTAGATATCCATCTAAACTCTAGATTTTGTCTAACAATATTAGTTTTAAAAGTTTGGTTTCTTTTTAATATATAGATATTAATATTCTATTTTGATATATACTATATATTAAGAAAAAAAGAACTATCTTATAATACTAATAAAAATAAATTATTATAAAATAAAAATTACAATAATCATCTAATAGAATGCCTTTTATTATTATATATTATTAATTTTAACATAAAATTAAGAATTCCTAAAAGAAATAATAAAATTTACATATTTTCTTCTTATAAATTTAAAATGAATTCAATAAAAAAAAACATATTATAAAAGATAGCTAGAAAAATTCATTAACGTAACATTTAAAATTTTAGTAATACTTCTCAAAAAAAAGTATAGATATCATTTGATTTCAATTAGATAGAATTAAAGCTTTATATAAACTGATCCAGCTCATAAGTTTTACGAGCTAGCTTATTAAGACTCAACTCGAATCACAATAAAATAGCTTGTTTAACTAGTCAAGTCAGTGTATGCTGTGACTTTGCTTATGATACAGCTCAGCTTATTAACTTGGATTTTAAAAAATTCCAAAAATGTTTCAGTAAAAAAACGCATATGAAGTGCTAAACTTTAAAGAAAATTGCATTCAATGCATTAAACTTTGAAGAAAAATACTTTTAAAGCATTTTTTTTAAAGAAAAACATTACAGAAGCATTTTCTTAAAGTTTAAGTTTCAGTAGCATTTTTCTTCAAATTTTAAAGTACCAGTAATGTTTTTTTCAAAATATATACTCTGATAGCATTTTCTTTGAAAATATGTTATAAAAGTGTTAAAATTTGAAGAAAAATGTTATCAGAGCGTAAACTTTGAAAAAAAAAACGCTACTGGTGCATTAAAATTTGAAGTAAAATGCTACTAAGCATAAATTTCAAAGAAAAATGCTACTGATGTATTAAAATCTTGAAGAAAAATATTACTGGAATGTATTCTTTCAAAGAAAACACTATTGATATGTAATCTTTAAATCTAATATTCTGAAAGTGATTTTCTTTGAAATTAATGCACTGGTAGCATTTTCTTCGAATTTTAATGCACTGTTAGCATATTTTATGAAATTAACATATTGGTAGCATTAAAATTTGAAGAAAATGCTCTGAAAGTATTTTTTCTTCTAATTTTACGCTTTAGAAAATGTATTTCTTAAAGTTAATATACTGGTAACATTTTTTTCAAATTTTAATACTTTGGTAGCATTTTTCTTCAAGATAAACATATTGGTAGCATCTTCTTTAAATTTTAACGCATTGGTAGTATTTTCTTTAAATTTAAATGTATCAATAATATTTTCTTTAAATTATAATGCTCTTATAAAGTTTTCTTCAAATTATAACATTCTGTTAGCGTTTTCTTCAAATTATAATACATTAGTAGCATTTTTTTTAAATTTTAATGCCTTAATAGCATTTTCTTTGAATTTAAACGTATTGGTAGTGTTTTCTTCAAATTTTAATGTATTGGTAGCATTTTTCTTTGAAAAAATGTTTTAAAAGCATTTATTTTTCTAATTTTATGTTCCAGAAGTGTTTTTTTTGAAGATAATACATAGTTAGCATTTTTCTTCAAGAAGAACATTCCAGAAGCATTTTCTTTAGAGATAAATATTTTAGAGATATTTATTTTCAAGAAAATCATTTCAGAAATTTTTTTTTAAAGAGAATTATATTGGAGACATTTTCTCTTAAAGAAATATTTTGAAAGCTGTTAACTTAAAGGAAAACTCTTCTCAGAGTATATCCAATCTCTCTGAAATATATTTAGGTAATAATGTAAGTTAGCTTGATTTGTTACATTTTTAACCCAAATCAAACTGAGCTTGAGCTAAAATAAATTAGCTTAGCTCAAACCAATTGCAAGTTAGCTCAAATCAACTTATGATTGATATTTATATTAAAATATGTTAATAAAATTATAATTTTAGAAATTATTATTAAATTTAAAATAAAAAGTTCCTAATATAGATTATAATTATAGTATATAAAAAAATTAAGCTTTTTTTTTTTTTAGATAAATTTGTATTTTAAGTAGATTTTTATAAGAAATCAATTATAGATTGATTGATTTATTAAACAAATATTTATAATTTAAACATAAATATAGATAATTTTTTATTTTATATAAACTAATTAAAATTTTTAGTTAAAGTTAATATTTCTTGAATTAAATATATATTATAAATAAATTTAAGTTAAAATAAGAAAAAAATTTATTAATATTAATTATATTAAATTTAAAAATACAAATTAAAAAATAAGAAATATTAATAAATTTTAATTGATTATTATCTCTTAAACTGTAAATTTTGCTTATGAAATTAAAAAAATATATTAATTCTTTATAAAATGTTAAATATTAATTTTAGTAAAATCATTATATAATAGTGTTTAATATATATTTTATCAAAATTTATTAACAAAGATTTTAAGTTTTTTAAAAGGTCTTTAAAATAATCTAATTTTAAAATTTTAAGTTTCAAAATTTTTATTATAATAATTTTTTAAAAATTTATATGTTTGCATACTAAATTGAATTAATTAAAGTCAGAAAATTTCTTAATAAATTATAAAAATTATAAAATAAAAGTTTTGGTTTATAAATAATTTTATAATATTCTATTATGATTAATATAGTTAAAAGTAAATGCTAAAAAGCTTATCATAAATTAACCTTAATATAAATATTTTAAAAATTACAAAATTTTAACTTTTAAGTAATATTAAATTTTTATTATATAATTAAAAGATAAAACTTATAATATATTACATATTTATAATATTAATTTAAAAATATGAATTATTTATAAAAAGTAAATCAAAAGAAAATTTATAGTAAATAAGCAGGTAAATTTGCCTGTGAAATTCTATGATTTAAGGGATAAATAATTAGTCTAAAGTATGATAAAGGACTATTCTGATCTATGCAATTTATAAAAAAACATATGTCTGCCTATTTAAAAGTTGAATCGATATGTGATTGGGTAATTCTGTTATATAAGCTTGAATTTAGCAATGGTTCCCATTCTTTAGTTATATATAATAATATAATAATATTTTATTTATTATTACTTTTATTTATTTTTATTAATTTTAAAGAAATAATATAAATATTAAGATAATTAAATAATATTTATAATATGGAAGATTTTCTAGAAAAATGTGGTTAATTTTTATTGCATTTTAATTTTTGATGTAATAAGAATTAAATTTTAATCAAAAAATTCTCAGAACCCTATTTTCCTAGCAAAACTCCCATATAACCAATTTTGTAATTTATAATTTAATTATTATTTAAATATATGTTTAATAATTAATATTATTTAAATAAATTTTGTTTTAATTACTTATTATATATTTATCATTTATTAATAAAATTTCATTTTACTTATAATATTAAAATGCTTGTTAAAAATTTATAAAAATATATTTTCATATAAATATTCAAATATAAATTGGAAGTTAAAAACATTTCATAAAGTGATAGGTATCAAATAGGATAATAATTTTTGTATCTCTATCTATTGTATATTGAATAAAGTTTTAAAAAAAAATTTTAAATTATTCTAATATTAATAACAGTAATATGGTACCATGAATGTAATGCTTCAAGACCCCTCTCAACTATGACGGAGCTGAACAGCACATAGCAAGTTTGAATTATGTCAGCCGTATTGATACAAACCGATTCGATGTATTAACATGACCAAGTTCTGAGCAGCGCGTCAATAAAACACATATATATATATTCAATTATAAAGGTTCAAAAGGGGAAGGTTCTTTGCAACCGCGACTCGAATCTGTGAAGAATTCACGCGATTTTGATTTTTTACGAAAAATTATTTTAATAATAAATATTTATGTACACTGAAAAAAAAAAAAAAAAAAAAAAAAAGGTTCATAATTTTTTTTTTTTTTTTAATAAATAAAATACAAGAATTTTCAAGTAGATGATCTAATTAAAGTTTTTCTAGCAATTGTAGATATAGGACGTTTAGCTAACCATTCACGCTTTTCCAATGACTCTGATATCCTTTTCCTTTCTTCCCTTTCACCTTCATTAAGCCTATCATCCAAACTATCGGGTTTATCCCAAGAAGCTTTAGCAGCAGCAGCAGCATCGGGAGTTATTAAGGTGGTGGTGGTAGTCATTGATATAGTGGTACTCGTAGAAAAAGTCGTTGAGGCTGTTATCACGGTATTGGAAGTGATGTCAGATGCTTCTCTACTCACACTAACGCTACTACGATTTCTTTTTGTACTAGTGGTGGTCTGTTGACAAGAACTGTGATTTTCTTCAGTGATTAAATCCATGGAACTTTCAAATGACTTTTGATGCTTAATATGACTTGAGATGCTCCTTATGCTTAAACCATTATTTGGGTTATTTGTAGTAGTAGAAGTATTTCCATTGGTACCAACACCTATGCTATTATTTGTAACACTACTTACGCTGACTCTCCTTATTCTCACACTTTCCGTACTAATACGTTTACCATTACTAATATTCTTGGTGTTGTTTAAATTATAGTTTGAATCATTGGTTTGTTCGTCTTGTGAAAATGTAAGTAAAGGTCGTTGAATGGAACTTTTACGATAAAAACTATTTTTCGGAGTCAAGGACGAGGGGTATATTAAATTATCTAAATTATCATTGTCTCTAGTTGAATTAGAAACATTCTGTGAACAAAATCTTGATAAAGATCTAGTTGAATGTAACCTATTATAAGTCTCATCGCGATTCAATTCTATGTTATTGTTACTTAAAATGCTATTGGTTATTGAGTTTATCGCCGCCGCATTCAATCCATTTAGTCCTAAACTTGTGTTGGAATGATTAAATTTCTTATAATAATCGAAACTATGCGTCCTCCTACGATTAAATTCATCAGCATCAACAGCATCAACAGCACCAACAGATTCATCGTCATTATCGTCGATATCATTAGCGAATGAATTATTAGTAGTATGGACGGCAACAGCAGGAACGGCGGTAGTAACGGCGGTAGTATCATCATCATCATAATCATTAGTATGATTATTGTTCTTATTAGTCGAAGTAGTTTGGGCAGTGGGAGTGGTCTGCGACATCAATGTAGATGTTAAAGGAGTAGTAGTCGTAATACCAAAACAACCACCCATCGAAGATTCTTCATCATATAAAGAAGAATCATGATCCTTTTTTTTCGGAGCATTATTGTTGTTATTATTGATGTTATCCCTTTTTGTTGTTATCGATGTAATTTTACTTGCGATGGATGAATTTGGCGGATGTTGTTTTGTTGGCCTTACCAATCTATAATTATTAAAAAAAATTTTTGCTTAATACTTGTTTTTTTTTTTTTTTTTTGATTGTTGAGATCATTAGAAGCGGTTGTGGAATACTCACTTGTATAGGAAAAAACCTTGCGTCAAGCTGAAAAATATTGGAATGATACAATCCCACATGATCATATACGTGACATTCAAATTATAATTGAACAATGTTTTTGTTTTATGAGACAATCCATATGTAAGTGACAATGTCAAAAACACAAGAAAGACAATCATAAAGATAAAAACTGTTAAACACAACTAGGAAAGAAGAATAATACTTATGTTTAGCAAAAGAAAAAAAAAAAACTTTTAAAATAAAAAAAAGATATAAATGTACTCACATTTCTTGCAGCGCGTTTTAAGGTAGAAACGGTCCATTGCATATCAGAAGTACCACTAACCTCCTTACGCTTTAAATCTTTAATATGATTCCATATGACTGTGATTAATTTATACCAAAAATAGGTCAAGCTTGAAAGGAATATAAACCCCCAAACCGTCCACGTAACGGTATGAATCTTACTAACAAAAATGGCCTTTTCAATAATTTTCTGGTCCGCGTAATGCCCCGATATCCATGCTAACGGAAATAACGTTGAAAAGGGTGCTATCAAGAATATGATTCCCATTATGTCTACTATAAGTTTATTTTGTGGAAAACTGCTAGCATGAATGACATTATTTGTACTATTCGTTTTCAAATCATTAGTTGGCGTCGAATAAGCTGACAGGAAAAAAAAGAAAAAAAAATATTAAATAAAAACGGGAATAATTAATTACAGGAGAAAGAATTATTGTATTAGACTTACTTATGCTTATGGGATAGATTAATACGATCCCGAGTGCAAATTCTCGAGCCAAGTCTTCTCCAACTAGTCGAAAATTTTTTTTTTTAATTAGCATCGATCAAGAATAATAATTTGAAAGAGAAAAAGAAAAATTACCTTCAGCCGCAGAATAACTGGGATACGCGTCGCAAAGGACCATAATTATATGTATCACGTGGACTAGAAATTCAAAAAAAGGGTTAGTCATCGTCAAACTGCGCCTCTATACGGGGTTCGAAAGGATAACTCACATAAGTTATATACGATGGAACTCAAGTGAAAAACTTCTTGTGGTTTTGGTCTTAAAAATCCTCTTTCTCTTGTTGAAGGTAACCAAAATGATTGTTTTAGTACATAATTTCTATAATATAAAAATCCAATTGAAATCATGATAATTAATGTACAATATGGTACTAATATCCAATGTAAAGTTCTTAATAAAATTTCTTCTTCACATCCGCTATAATTTATTCTGAAATCACATACACATCTATTTTCACAAATTAACGAATAATTGCTCAACAAATGCACCATTATATTAATTATATTTAGGAATTTTTTTTTTTACTCTAAAGGATTTTTTTTTTTACATAAAAAATTGACGTAATGTGACAAAAGTGTATTTGATTTTTAAAAATTTTTTTTTCTTTTGATGTGATTTCTTTCGTTTAAAAAAGATTTTTTTTTTAATAAGGAAAAGAAAGAATTTAAAAAATATTTTGAGTTTGAAGATTAAGCATATAAAATTATTTATATATAAAAATAAAAGAGTGAAAACGAAATATTATTCGTTATAATGCAGAAGCAAAATGTGGTGAAATAGTTGAACAGATGGTATGATATATATATTGTTATAATTAATTTTTTTGAAGAATAGAAAGTTGATTAAAAACTAGTCCTATTACGAAATCGTAAATATTTATATTTATATATATATACACAATGAAAGGTAAATAGTTGACAACCAAAATTAATAAATATTTTTTTCGTAAACAAAAAATTATTTTTTAATTAAACAGTTATTTTTTAAACAAAAAAAAATTATTTTTTTCTTTTTTTTTTAAATAAAAAAAAGAGCACCCTGAAGAATTTGTCAAATGAGAGGGAGATAAAAATTAAGGTGAAGATAATCGTTTCAAAAAAGGAGGGAAATAAAATCGCACCAAAAAAAAAAATTTTTGAAATAAATGTAGTTAATCAATTTGTTATCATTCAATAATCTTAATGTATAACAAATATATAATTTTTTAAAATAAGCAAACATGCATAATAAGATGTGTGAGACCATCCCCTCAACCTAATTTACAGGTTCAAAATACATTGATTAAAAAAAAAAACAAACAAATTACATTTATTACATTTTATCATTTTATGTATGTTATAGACTCAATAAGGTACCAGAAAATCCGATAAAAATTACATTATTTAAATTCAGTTGCACTGTAAAAACCATATTTACGATAATCCAAGGTGATTTTGAAAGTTACGCCTTTTTATTATGATTAATTAATATTTTTTGGTTACAAACATTTAACCAATCGATAGACACTATTTTTCCCTTTGGATGATTCTTTTATAGGTGTGTCATATCAAAATATCAAAATATTATCAAAATACCTTGTGTTTCAACATTCATAAAACAACATCGTTTTCGTTTTAACCAAATCGGGGCCACCCACACGTTTGGATTAAATCAAATATGACGTCAAAAGAGCTCTCCTAAAAAAAAATATTTGTTACTTTTATGCAGAGTGTCTTATTAAATAATATCGCAACAACTTTTTTTTTTACGCCTCCACCTTATGTGTTCCCGACAGAGAGAAATCTTCAAGAGGTGCATCATTGGTATGTCACGAGGCTTATGCATTACATCAAAAAAAGCTTTTAAGTTCATTCACAAAATAGAATCTTAAATAATCATTACCAAAAAGAACATACCGAATCAAAGAATGTATTCTTTTTCTAGATTAAAATGATAATAATTTTTTTTCATCTCAAACGTAAGATGTAGATAAGTCGGCGAAAGATTTTAGTGGTGGTAATTAAGGTTTAGAAAGTTTAAATGTTTATTTTCTTTCCAATCGAATTCCGCGGATGTTTTTTTAATTTGTTCATGCAGTAAAAATCTTGAATGTCGAGAGCAAAACGATTATTGAAATTTTCTTTTTTTCCTTTCTGTGGCGCAATTTGATTGGGTCTCTTATATAATATTTATTGTAAAAATTCCAAGTGATCACGAAACAACTTCTTTCATTTTGCATAACACAACACAAATTTCAAGGGATGCATAATGGTTGATTTATTATTTAAAGAAGTTTATAAAACCGGTTAATTAACCTGTTATACCCAAGATCTTACTAAAATCATATATATACCTAAAATTTAAAGTAAAGTACAGGTGTATAAAAAAAAGTAGATCAATTCTCTGTTATCAAGTATTTCGTATTGGGTTTGGGTTGCTATTAAAATTACAATCATAAACGCAATGAGAAATTAGAAATATTAATATATTTTTTTTTTGTGTATAGTTAATTACATACAGTTGTATCATTTTATGGAAATGTTTATTCTGCGGGACTGAATTTATTGAATCTGAACCAATTAAGAAAATTTTAATCAATGATCAACGGAAGGATAAACATGACCGATTTTCGCGTTTAAGCATCAATATTCATTAATATCCTGCGACATTTATGAATTTGTTCTACTATTAAGGGTTTTTCAATGTTGAGTAACGAAAGTTATGTGATATCGCATTGAAAGTTTCAAAAAAAAAAGTATTCTCGTCGGATAAATTATTATTAATCAGTGATTGATTAATTGTGTTCCGTGATTTTTTTCTGTGAATTTGAAATGTCATTAAGTTCATGTATTTGATTTTAAAAAAAGGGGTATCTTTTTTTTTTTTGAAAATTAAATACGCATCCGGAACTATATTTAGACGTTGAATAAACTTTCTTCCTTTTTTTTTTGAAAATTAAATACGCATCCGGAACTATATTTAGATGTTGAATAAACTTTCTTCCTTTTTTTAAAAAAAAAAATGTATATCAGGAAGACACAGCCTATCTAGAACATACAATGTGTAATCTGTAAAAAAATATGCGCGTAACGAGAGTTTAATTCATGATTGGTTAACATTGGCAATCGGCCAGCATTAACTAATGTAACATGGTTTATTATGAAACGGTTTCGTGTAAAATTCGAGTGAATTTGGTGAATTGTAAATAATTAAATAATTGCAACGTTTGATATTGGTTTGTACATTTAACTGCACACTTGGTTCTAGCGCCATACTAATAAACAATCGAAACTTAAACGGTCAATTATTTAACTTAAAAAAAAGGAAACACAAATTTTATTAAGGATCGGCAGTGGTCTGGATTGGATAATTTAATAAATTTCTGATTAAAAACGCCGATTTTTTTTTTTTTCCAATATCCCTTCAAACTTTTGACTAAATACAGTAATTCGAAATAACAAATCACATCACTTTTAGAAAATTTTTTAATTTACCGTGGCTTTGTTTATGAAATCCTTCCGGTTGGGGAAAATCTTGTATGGTCCGAACTCAGTTAGTTTCCGTGCTTAGTAAATAAATTAAATTAAAAGTAATATATCACTGTGAGAAAAAAATTTATAATATCGATAGTCTGTTTTTATTAAAATAAAGGGTCCTACTTCCAATATGTTCAGATACCACAGAAATGCTAGTGATTTTTTTTTTCGAAAACTTTTTATATAAATAAAAGAGAAATAGGAGAAATAAGTATAATAAAAAATAGATAAATATTTATAAGATCTTTATTTTATTTATTTTATTTTGGTTTGATAATTAATTCACATAGACAAATTTCAAATATGATATAAAACAAATTTAAATATGAATTTCGAAATTTTCAAATTAAAATGTAAAATATTTATTCTATTCTATACTATATCAACCATTTATAATTATCTAATAATAATAAACGCATTTAAACAATCAATTATAAATAAAACAAATTATTATTCAAAATATTTACGTGTCATAATTTCAAGTCAAAAATGTACTCAATGATTCAGCTGTTATTATAATCTTCACATATAAATATTTCGCAAATCAAGCTATAACTTTGTTGTAACAAATCCCTAAGTAAAATTTGAATATAAACTTCGACAAATATTATATATATTCAATAAATTAATCCGTCCCCATCATTCATCATCCGGTTGACGAAAATACGCATTAATAATTTTTTTTAAAAAAAAAACACAAAAATGAAAAAATAATTTGAAAAGTATTTGTGTCCACAAAATACATATATTTGTGCCATTATTAAACCAAGTATTTGGATCCACAAAATAAATATATGCCATTGTTTTAATAGATAATTCACTCGTCATAATATTCACAACTTTCCAAATGTTCAGACTTCTATCGTTATTATAATTCTTATAATTCTTATACATAATATAAAGTTTATAAGTACATTTAACATCTTTTTTTTTCAGTAAAAAACGCGTTAATCTCTACATTTAGATCGTCACAAATTCTACAAACTTGAATCTAAACTTCGACATATATTTATTTATATTTTCAACAAATTAATCCGTCATTCATCATTCAATTGAAGAAAAATATGTATTAGTATAAATATATTTTTTTTTAAAAAAAAATAAAATAAAATAAAAATAGTTGATAAATCAAAACCAAGTACTGTTTCCACATTCTAGAATGTCCAATTTCTTTCGTTTCGTTTATTACTTAATTATTAATTATCAATATAAAAATCATCAATTAAATTATAATTCCATAAGTACATTTGGTCTATTTTGCAATAAAAACGCGTTAATCATCGATATTTCTCTACATTTAGAACGTCCCATATTAATCTTCGACATATATTACATATTTTCAACATATTAATCCGTTCCCAGCATACATCATGCAATGATCGAAAAAATATGTATTAGTATATATTTAAAAAAAATAAACAAAGAAAAATAATTTGAGAAATCAAACCAAGTATTTGGATACATAAAATACGTTATGGCATTGTTTGATAGATAATTCACTATGCGCAACTTTTCCGGAATGTCCAAACTTCTATCGATTATTATAATTCTTATACATTAATCGTCACTTAATATAAAGTCTATAAGTATATTTGATCTCTTTTTTTTTCATTCGCATTAATAATCGACATTTAGAATATCCAGATCCTACAATTTGAATCTAATATTCGACATATATTACATATTTTCAACAAATTAATCCGTCCACAGCATTCATCATCCAGTCGATGAAAATTATGTATTAGTATATATATATTTTGAAAAAAAGAAAAATAATTTTGATAAATCAAACCAAGTATTTATATCCACAAAATACGTTATATATATTATGCCATTATTTTGATAGATAATTCATTCGCCCATGATATTCGTAACTTTCCGGAATGTCCAAAGTACTATTATAATTCCATCCGTCCTTAAAACTTCTTATAATGCTCAATTTACTAATTGACCCAATAACCACCACTTTAAAGTACTATGAATACACATCCATTATTTTTCAATTCTAAATTTGAATATGATGCCGACATTTCCAAAATCATTTTTTTATATCATCCGGTAAATGAACAATATGTATTAGTACAATAATTAAAAGATAAGATGAATATTTCACTTGTCACAACATTTCCACAAGTCATTATATACCCGTCGTTCATACAATTCTTCTAATGTTTAATCATCAATTGATCTAACTATCATCACATCAATTATCGATATTTTTCATTATTCTACGTTATTCCATTAAAATAAAAAAGTTGCATTTTCAATGGTAAATTGATCTACTTTCAACAATTTTCGACATTCATCATCCAGTTAATGAAATAGATGTGTTAGTAAAAATTTTTTAAAAAAAATAATAGCATAAAAAAAGAGATAGATAAATTAAACCATGTATTATTAACGCTGAGCATTTTATATTTTTGAACTGTTGACTTGATAACATTACACTTCCTCGGTCTGAAAAACGCTGTAAATATTTGCTTATTTACAAATAATCGCCATTTCAAAAGTCAATATGTTAATAGAGTTCATTATTATCTAACATTAATAATAACATATATCTACTCAATAACTTAAAATACTATTTGCAAATAAACATCATCATTCAAAAAGCTATCAGCAAAATTAAAGATATGCCAAACCCAGTACACATAAGAATAAATATTTTCATAAGCATCCAAATCATTCTCCTGTTATATACGATAGTCCCATCAATACAGTTCCGTTGCAGATCTCACCAATTTACACGAAATGATTCTATAAGTATGTTGCTGTTCATCGTCTATCATTCATAAGTTATAAGATCATGATTTTAGTGTTATTATTTCTCGTTTAATACGATAATTCATACATGTTCTATTAGCATTATTCTGTTACATATCGCGTCCGGAAATAAGTAATATATATCATCATCCCATCAATATTATTTTGTTAAATTCTCATCCATAACCATCCAAAATATTGTCCAAATAAGGAATTAAACGCGTTAGTAAGAGTGATGTACAAACCAAAAACAAATAAAAAATATATAAGATATAGCAAACCCAATCCACATATAAAGTACGTGATTGAATCATAAGTCATATAAAATATCCATTTAATTTTCTTCACATAATTGACACTTTCTCCTCAACATTATTGTTACATGTCGCGTAATCAATAAAATTCATAATAAAATTCATAATCCAAAATTCATATTGTTCTGCACGTCAAATTATACATATCCCATCAATAATATTTGTTAAATAACCATTCAAAGTGTATCCAAAAAATTAAACGAATTACTAAGAGTGGTGTACAAACAAGAAACGAAAAATAAGACCTAGGACCAGTCCATAGGAATTGTCACGGTAATGTATATTGAATCAATATCATCGTCTATTTTTCATCATCTACTATTAATCACGATAAATAATACACACCCCCATCAGTACTATTTCCTTACGCTAAATATCCAAAGAAGAATTAACTTGATAATAATTATCCCGTAACCACGTGTTATTTTCCAAGAATATTTTATGAATTAACAACTAAAGTAAACCGAAACAAAAAGCTCAAACTGAAACAAAATTATCGAAAAATTCCATTTTATGTCATTCTGGCAGTAAAAGTCTGAGTTTTTCCGTAAAGCTTTTTGAAAAATTTTTATACTTGAAAATTTTTGAAAAAATGGTGGGGGTGAAAACACGTTTATAATCAATCTTCTTTTTTATGATTGGCTCAATCAAATATAAACACGTGAATATAAATTCAACTTTATTATGTTTATCAAATAATTCTATGTATAGTATTCTAATTTCAGGTAAGTATGGTATGTATACTTTAAAAACCATACATGTATGGTTTCTAATATTATACATATAAATAAAAAACCAAATTATACATACAGTTTTATACAGCTTTCTATATACCCCAATATGGTCCAAGAAATTTTAGATTTGTGTTTAAAAAAAGCAAATATATACAGTATATCACATTTTCTAATAATCGGTATACTGAAAGAGTGCATTCTAATCATGAAGATAGTCTTATAAATAAACTCTACAATACACAATAACTATTATTATATTATTATGGTAGCTTCTATCATTTTTTTCAGACTATCATTATCGACTAATTTTTTGAGTAAAATTAAATATAAATCGGATATCTGTAAGATCTTAACGCAATAATTATTATTCTAGAAATTTTTTAAAAGTTTATGACGGAAATTCACTTTTTAAAGTAAATAATAATTTTGATAAATTACTCGGAAATTTATTTGTTAAATTGACTAGTGATACAAGATGTGATCGTCCATACTAGTTGAAATCGGATAAATTATAATCAAAAAAAAAAATTATGCGTTAAAATCTTTTTTCATCAAAATTATGATTACTTTTAATGGATCACTTAAATCATCTTTTAATCTTTCATATCTTCAAAGAATTCGATGCTCAAATTTCAAAAATCTTTCATTTAGAACTTATATCACAATAGCAGCAAAAGATCCGGAACATTCAAAATTTGATGTTATAGTAATTGGAGGAGGGCATGCAGGTTCAGAAGCATGCGCAGCAGCAGCAAGAACTGGAGCAAAAACTTTATTACTTACTCAAAGACTTGATACTATTGGTTGGATAAAATAATTTGTCTACGCACTACTTATTGAAATTTTATTTATTCAAAACCCTTCTTTTTTTTACTTAGGTGAAATGTCATGTAATCCTTCATTTGGTGGGGTCGGTAAAGGAACTTTAGTTAGAGAGGTGGATGCTTTGGATGGATTATGCGGAAGGATATCTGGTGAGATCCGTAATTAAGTGGATGTAATCGTATTTTAAGATTCTTAATATATATATTATTTTTAGATTTATCTGGAATACAATTTCATATTTTGAATCGTTCAAAAGGTCCAGCTGTGCATGTAAGGAGTCGTTATCACATGATTACTAGTAAAAATTCAATATAATATTCCAATGTCTATAACTTTTTTTTATTAGGGTCCTAGAGCACAGATAGATAGAAAGTTATACAAGAAAAATATGCAAGAATGTTTATTTAATTATCCCAATTTAACAGTAAGAGCTGGTAGTGTGTATGATATTATAATGGCACATCAACCAATAATTTTTAATAAATCTGGTGAACATCCAATCTGTGGAGAGGTACAGGGGGTGAAATTAGGTAGACTTCAAAGATAGTATTTTATAATAAATTTCAAGACGTTGTATGATAATAAATGATTTATTTGTTAGATTCGGGTGAAGTCATTTATGCGCCCAAAGTTATCTTAACAACAGGAACTTTTCTTCAGGGCGAGATACATATTGGTAACATATAAACGATCATTTACTCCAAATTATCGATTGAAATAAAATTGATGGTCTCTTGCTGTATAGGAAAATCAGTGTTTCCTGCAGGTAGATTTGGTGAGGCTCCAACTGTGGGAATTTCCAAAACATTGGAACTCGCAGGGTTTAGGCTTGGGAGACTTAAAACAGGTAAAAAAAAAAAAAAAAAAAGAGTTTGCGTTCTAGATTGAATTTATCTTAAAATAATGTTTCCCAATCAAGGCACTCCTCCACGTTTGGATGGACGTACAATAAATTATGAAAATCTCTTGCAGCAGCGTGGAGATATACCAGCCACGCCTTTTTCTTATATTCACACTTCTGTTCCTCTTGAGGTAAATTATATATTCAAAGATATCTTGTAAATGATTCTTTGGGAACAATAATTTTTTTAGGTAACGGGAATTTGTTTATAGAAACATCAGATACTATGTCATCAAACAAAAACCAATGCAGAAACACATAATCTAATTTTGGATAATTTATCCGAGACAATACACATACGTGAAACCGTAAAAGGGCCAAGGTTAATTTCAAATATGTATTTGTATTAACAAAAATGAAATATTAATAATTTCTATAAATTAGATATTGTCCCTCAATCGAAGCAAAAGTGATAAGATTTAAAGATAAGGGTGGCCATGTTATTTGGTTAGAACCAGAAGGTAGGTACTTTAGGATTATTCATAACGATTGATAAGTAAATATATAAATAACTTTGATATAGGTCTTGATACGGAAGTTGTATATCCAAATGGGATATCTGTGACGTTACCGGAACATATACAGTATAAAATGCTACATACAATCTCGGGATTAGAGAATGTAGTGATGATAAGGCCCGGTGATTATTATTAGGATTAAAGATCGAAAATAAAGGTGATATTAAATAATTCTTTTATTACCTAGGATATGGAGTTGAATATGACCATATTGATCCACGAGAATTAAACGCGATGTTAGAAACTCATCGTATTAAAGGCCTATACTTGGCTGGGCAAATCAATGGAACTACAGGTTACGAAGAAGCTGCAGCACAGGTAAAAGAAATAAGAAATAAACTGCGAAATATCTTTTTGACGAATTTGATGTTAACGTCTCTTAAATCAGGGAATTATTGCGGGCATAAATGCAGGCCTTGCTGTTCAAAACAGGTCTCCATTTACACTTGACCGCGCAGATGCATATATTGGAGTTTTGATAGATGATTTGATAACAAAAGGAATCAATGAACCTTATCGTATGTTTACTGCTCGTTCAGAATATAGATTGTCTCTTAGAGCTGATAATGCAGATCTGCGATTGACAAAAAAAGGTACCTTTAAACCATTATTTCTTGATGAACGTTTGTTATACTAATTAAGAGATTTTTATTAAAGGATATGAGGCCGGATTCGTATCGAATTATAGATGGGAAATATATCGAAAAACTGAGGAACAATTCCGTAAAGGTTTAGAGCTACTTCATGATTTTAGGTTGTCGCCTCAGAAGTGGAACGCTTTAGGTGTGAATCTTGCTTATGATGGTACAATGAGAAGGTATTGAATTTGGCATCAAGAAATACTATGGACACTTCCTCAAAACCATCCATAAAAAATAGTAAAAATTATACGTTTTGGTCGTGCGTGTTAAATATTTTAGCGCTATAGATGTAATTGGAATTCGTGGGAATACTACGGAATCTCTTGCACAAATCATCCCAGGATTCGATAGAATTGGACCTTCTATACTGCAACGATTACATGTTGAGGGTATACAGAGATAAACTGCTAAACTTTTTTTTTTTGTTATTTATATTGTTAATTATAATAATTATTTTTATAGCAATTTATAAAACATATTTGGAAAGGCAGGAAGCAGAAGTTCGGGTATTTCGAAAAGATGAAGAATTGTTATTACCGGAAGATTTGGATTATGATTTGTAAGAAATAATTACATAAGATAAACAGGCCAAACATGATATATGCATTAACTTAATTTCGTATTTGTGTAGAGTTCATAACCTTTCATTTGAGACTAGGTCAAAACTAAAATTCATTAAACCTACCACATTGGTAAATATATGATAGCTATAAAATAATTTTATAATTGTTTGTTGATTTAAATTATCTCGCGTTTTACTTAGGGAGAAGCAAAACGTATTGAAGGAATGACACCGGCTAGTATAGTGACCTTATTAAGATATGTACACAAGAAGAAAGATTCTCGACCAAACCAGCATTTACGCTAATTCACATCGTTTGATTGATAAAATAAAATTAATGTAATGCATAAAGAAAAAGGAAAGTTTTTAAAACCTTTCTACTTATCTGCCAACTATGCTGAACATTACAATTTAGGTGCTCTGCAGTGTGAAAAAAATTTTTTTTTTTATATTTTCCTCTCCTTTTCTATTTCACGTTTTTTATTCTCGAATTATTCCAAAGCATTGCTAGATGAATATGTAGTTATTTTAACGTAGAATTCCAATAATATCAAACTCCTTTTTATTTTTTGCCTGAGGTTTTTTTATTGTACAACAATTACAAAAGGTGGTATTCCGGGTCTAACGCAAAAAAATAAACGGTATACTGGTTCCATTATATTTCGATGTAGATGATAGCGAAGAAGTTAAATGGCTTGAGATTGGAAAAGTTATCATCATTATCCGACTTTCTACCCCGGTTGAATGTAAATTTTTTTCCATGAGGCCCCGTTATTGGGTGATCTTTAACAAGATCATAAAATCGGGTCGCTTCTTCTGGCCCCAACTAAATTTTGAATCATTTTGTTAGAAATTATTGATATTTAAAATTCACATAAGTCATTGATTATAATGATTACTTTATCTTTTCCATTCTTCTGATGTGCACTATTTTTACATTTCGAAATGTTGCTTCCAGCCAATTTTTAATCAAGTTATTTTCCACTTTACAAATCTTGTCTCCTTGTGTTCTGGCGAAAAAAATAGAAAAGTCTTCTGATGTACAACAAGCTTGATAACCTATTAATAACATTAAAAATATAAAGGGTTTTAATAAAATTCCAGAATAGTGTAGTGTAAAAAGCCTACCACCAGAAGGAAAAACCTATCACCAGCAAGGGATAGAAGAAAAAAAGCCTACCATCAGCGAGAGATGGAAGAAAAAAATCCTACCACCAGTGAGGGATGAAAGGAAAAGCCTACCATCAGCGAGGGATGGAAGAAAAAGTTCTTCTCACGAAATTTTTTGATGATTAAAAATAAAGAAAGGTACAGTACATAATATAAATATTCGGAATTTTTATTAAAAATACAAAAAAAAAGTATTATCACCAATTTCTGTCTAACAGAAATAAAATTTAAAATAGCAATTCTTTAGCTATTTTTAGACGTAAATATAAATGCCAATTTTTTTGCGTAACTGTTTATCAGTAGCAACACATAATAAATAGCGTTCACTTCAGAGTTTGAAACAAGATGGCTAATTGTAAAGGAATTATGGATTAAAAATGTACGAAAGCCCTCTGAAATAATTAAAATAACTGGGTATCCAAAGTCTACAGTATATGATATTATCAACCGTTTAAAAGAAACGGAAAATGTTGAGCATTTGCCTCATCCTCTTTTTCTCATCCCCAATGAACGCCGATATCTTGATCTCTTCTCCAAGTTAATAATGCAACAATTCTAACTTTAATGACAAAAAAGCTGAATTTCACATATCCAGAACTTAATGTATCAACTTGAACTGTCCAATGTACCCTTAAAAATAAACTTAATTATGTTGTTTGTATCATATTAAAGCTCGTTTCAATGGATCATAAACCATAACCAAGATGATTGGTCTCATACAATATTTTCTGACGAAAGTACTTTTCAAACGTTTCGCAATACCCAACTTGTACACTATAAAATTGGTAATCCACATCCATTATATCTTATAGTAAAACATCCGTATAAAGTTCATGTTTGGGATGCTTTTAGCCATTAAGGACCAATTGGTGTAACATTATTTACAGGAAAGATGAATGCTGAAAAATATAGGGAAATTCTTTGATCCCAATTGCTTCCTAATGCTAACCATGCTGGTAATAGATGGCGTTTTCAACAGGATAATGCACCAATCCATACCGCGAAGCTTACCTGTCAATTTTTTGTTACGAATAATGTTCCAGTGATTGATTGGTCTGCTAACTCTCCTGACTTAAATCCAATCAAAAATTTGTGGGCGATTCTTAAAGAAAAAGTGGAGAAAAAGGTTAATAATTGGATCAGAGAAAAAAACATTTAGCGTGGATGCTTTTCAAAGTATAATTCAGAGGGAATAGGAAAATCTCGATCAAATATTTTCTTTAATTTAGTAGATAGTATGTCAGATCGGATTAGTATGGTTATAGAAAAAATGGGTATACGATAAATTATTAATTCTTTAATATGTTTTTTTTTATATGATAAGCTATTGATAATATAAATTTGAAATAAAAAAAATAAAGTTTGCGATACTTTTATATGTCATGATAAATTCCGGATATTTATGTCATGAATTGTACATAATCAATTCCTCCTCCAGGAAATTAGTAGATTAGATCAACGGTGATAATAAACTGCATTGCACGCCGCAGCAATCAAAGAAAAGAAGAGGAATATTTGAATTAAATTTTACTAGCAAATTTCTTTACCTTGCATTTGAGAATACGAGTGTTTGTGTAAAAAGAAAAAAATAACTAAAAAAATAAAAACAGATTTCAAAATGTGGTTAAAGTTACAAAACGAAACTGAAAAAAAATAAAAAAAATAACAAAACATACTATTATATATAAGATCAAAATCACAATAACGCATGACTATAGTCTATCTTATTTTAGTAACACATCATCACTCGTGATTCTACGCGAAATCATCACACCATAAAATGTTCATTATCATTCAATATAAAATCAGTGTTTTATTCAGATGATTTCGTTTAATATTTTATCCAATTGAAATTAAAAACTAGATTTGAAAATTTCAATATTTGAATAAACACTATCTATCCTATGATAAGTCATGTAATTTTGCCGTTTACAAATAAATCTCACTTCTTAAATAAATACATTGTTTCGATTTTATACACTAATTACTTTTATCCCTCCCCTCCTACTTCAATACCTCTGCTTCCTTTACAACTTTTAAGTTCGATATCTATGAAAGGGAAGGGTTAGTTAGTTTAGTATAGAATTAATTAGTATCTAATTACCTAAAATTAAAAATAAATATTAAACTATGCTGCGCCATTAAACGATTCAAGGACACATTTACGGAAAATCTTAAATCATCGGTTGTGTTCTTAATTATTTATTTACAATTTACATGTCGATCAAATTAGGTATCCGAAAAATGTGTTAAACTTGAAGTAATAAAATAGTTTTTATTATTATTAATAAGTTAAAGCACATATTTTTATTCACTTGCGCAATAAATAAAAATAATAATTTATTAAATATTTTGATATTGTCAAAGTAAAATATGTTAAAAATCGAACATATAAATATACTTGGATGTATTCAAATGTTTCTTTAAATCAATGTCCATTCTCGTTCTCTAGAGACAAAAAAAAAAAAAAAAAAAAAAAAAAAAAGTTTTTTACAAAATATTGATGTTATTCATTCCAAGATGTAGTTTTTATGAATCTTAACAAAGTCCAATTAATTATAATTTGTACTGGCAAAATTCGGATATCAAGTCATATAATTAACTAATATATTACCATAGTTCATTAAAGTAAGGATCCAATGAGTGAACTCACCTCAAATTCATTTTTAATGTGATGACTTGGAATGGTTTGAATTGAATAACCGCACCATCCTGATGATTATAGTTAATAAAACAAGTATGTTCTTCCAAAATGTTTGTTTCATAAATATTATCTAACGGAAGCGAGCTACATTTTTTGTAAAAATTTAGATTAATAAATGAGTTATCGTAAAAAAAATTCAATGGTTATCATTTTAATTACTCACCTTGTCAAAATAGCTTTAGCATGACCCCCATATGCTTCAAATAATCTCAAGATAATCCCGTCAGAATCTTCGGCGCGCTTTACGGTATCCAAAATAACATTTGGGGCGTTAGAAATTGTGAAATATGATTTAGTGTTATATGTTTGTACAATCTCCTTGGATGTGGGTCTGTTCATAAATCAACAAAAACGGAAAATTTAATTTACTATTTTATTAAAAAAGCATAAATAGAGCTAATATAAAATTGATTTACCTAACAAATAGAGGAACATTAAATTGGTATGCTTCTCTAACAACATTTGATTCCAAGAAGGAACAAGCATGCGGAAGGATCGCATATTTGAAATTATGCACTCCTATGTCACAATGAGCATCTGGTGCCTAGAGATGATTAAAAAGCTAAATTAGATACATCTGATAAAAAAAAAAAAAATTTTTATTGAAAAGCTTTAATAATTTTGACATACCTTTGGTGATCTTAAAAGAGATAATCTCATCACATTTCCATGAACAGCATAACCTTGATAAATCAAAATATATAAATGCGCAAATTTATTAAGAATAATTCTTATTCAGTTACTTACCATATTTACAATCGTTCAACAATGCTACACCGTATCCGTACTCTGATAAATCAGCAAATTTGTGTCCGCATACTTCAAATTTGGCTGAATCCCAGGTGGTATTATAATGTGTGGGTCGTTGAATGAACCCAAATTGAGTTTCATAAGTAGCCTATATGTTAACATCCAAACGTGATCAGTTAATTCTTTTTTTTTTATAAAAAATATATATATATATATTTTTTTATTATATTTACATAATCACTGTTTATGTCAAACGGAAATTCTACTTTCTGTAATGGATTGGCAGAAGTTAGTAAATAATACTAATTTAGCACAATAACTTCTACTTAATTATATATTTATAATTACCAAGAATTGCCTATTTTCATCCCAATTTACCGTTGTATCAAAGTCAATTCTTGATGAAACTGCACTTAATGATATAACTTGACGCAACGTACTCGTTGCGGTAATTTTAGATTCAAGTAGCAATGACGCTTTAAGTGGTCCCGTTTCAAATATCTAGAGAAATAAAGTCGACTTAGAAAAGATCTAGTATACGACTAGCAAAATATCAATAATATAAAAATGTAGATATAAGACCTTGACAGTGCCAAGTTCTGCCTCACGACCCTTTTGCAGGTGATAAATTTCAACTATATGTTTCAATACAAATCATTTTAATAATTTTAACGATATATTTTTAAAAATCGAGATAATACATACCATCCCATGCTATATATAGGAAAGGAAAAATTCATAATTTGTTTATTATTAATCTGAACATAAAACCGATTAAAAAATAAATTATCTTACTTACCATCCCAGAATAACGGCTAACAAAAAAAAAATTATAATTAAACATTGAAGTCTATAATGAAATTATTCAACAAATAGTCATACATACTATATCTTCATATATATTAAATTTATTTCCATATTGACCTTTGGGAATAAGTTCTCGACTAAATTGAAGAAAAAATTATTTTAGAACAATTATTATTATATCATTTTCGTTAATGATGCTTACCTTGATTTTGAGTCGGAGTCACTTAAGCTTATTAAATGACCATGTTTATCAAATATCGAACAAATGTATTGATTTCGCAAGCAAAAGCGATCATTATCGATAATACAAACTATATAAAATAAAATAAAAATGAAAATAAAAATGAAAATGAAAATGAAAATGAAAATGAAAATGAGAATGAAATCATCATATAAATAAATATAAAGATAAGCATACACACCAGTTACTGGTGAAAAATTGGTGGGAATTCCTAGATCAATTCCTTGTGCTCCAATTCCAACGACATCGTTAACTATTGTAACATATGAGTATTAGATTGTGCTCATGATATTTATTTTAATCAAAATCAAAATATGAAACAAACCCAGTATAAATCCAGTTTTCTCGTCAACTGAAACTTGTGGTAATTTGTCTACTCCTTCACACACAGGAACTTCAACTACTTCAGTCCTATTCCAACCAAGCGTATTATAAGCCAATAATCCTAATGAAAAAAATGATTTATATTAAACTTAATGATATTTGAGATAATCTAAACTAAAAAAAAAATCCTTTATCACCTTTTTCGGAAGATTCGGAACTCTTTGGAATTTGGAATAATTCATCGAAAGCATTTTCAAGAAGTAAATTTCCTTTTTCTTCAACTTCCTTATAATACTATAGGAAAAAATAAAATATTATATAAAAAATGAAGTATATTTGTTCAATAAAAGAGAATTCATACCTTAGTAGCATCAACATAAACCATTTCAATAGACGACCCTGGCAATACATCGTGAAACTGATTCCTATAATATTTTTAAGTATAATCAATTTTACTTCCTAATTCATATTCAATGTACAAATGCAGATCCACTCACAATAAAACATATTTCCATAATTTATCCAATTCTTTTTTTGGATAATTATAGCTAAAACAAAATTAAAGATGATAAAATGAGAAATATATAACATAAGTAAGCAAAGAACGCTTAATATATTTACTTGGATTCCTTGTTTTCGGTTTGCGATTTAATGAGATTAATAGTTGAAATTAGCTCAACATTTCGCAAAAGCAATTCCGATTTACGATTGAATCGCTTGATACTACCATGTGTAGTATATGTACCTCGGTGAAGCTCAAAATACTATAATTTATAAAATAATTAAATTAGTCATACAATAATATCAATAATGGTTGAATAAAAATTTTAATATATCACTTACTAATTCTCCCTTCCAAGATACTAATTCTTTAGAACTCTCTTCAATTCTTTCGTAAAATTCTTCAGCAGATCCCATCTCAACTTTAGCCAGCCCATCCTAATTATAAAGAAAATCACGTATAGTTAGACTAAATAAACTAAAGACACGACATTTCATGTATATTTACAATATCTTTCATTCGATTTAAACGTTCGATCATAGAAGCAAGTGGACCACCTCCACCATCTCCATTTCCAAAGACTAAAAGACTTTCGTTGCTATATTCTTTATCCTTGTGATTTTTAACACTATTAACAAGTTCTCCTGGGGTACATTGAGAAACATAGCTGATGATTCAGATACAAATTAGAGATAAAATTAATTAAAAAAATTAATTAATATAATAAAATTTTTCTTACCTTTCTGCTGGACACATGTGTGTCAGAACCTTACTACCATCAAGTCCCACCCAATAGAAAGTTGTGTTGGGGAACTGATATAAAAGGATTAAAAAATCTAAACTTTAGATAAAAATCATACAGACAATTTTGAAGGCGATTCAAACCTTGTTTATATTATTCCATGATAACTTTTGAGTGAAAAAATATTTAAGTCCGGCACCCCTGATTATCTGTGGCAACTGAGCAGAATAACCAAAAGTATCTGGAAGCCAAAATACTTTGCTTTTCTTTCCAAAGTTATGTTCAAAGAATCTTTGACTAAATAAGGAAGGAATAAGGTGTTAAGATTTGAATTATAAGATTGACATTAAATTATAATTATATTTTTTAATGAATTACCCATATAAAAACTGTCTACAAAATGATTCTCCACTGGGAATGTTACAATCCATCTCAACCCAAGTCTACACAATAAAGAAATTTAATGATTGATCGATAATAATTTATTCTTTACTAATAACAATTATACAATACATACTCCACCAATTGGCAAGAACTGACCCTTTTCAACTTTATTTTTGACTATGTCAAACAACTTCGGATAATGTTCTTGTAACCATTCAAATTGTTGAGCTTGAGAGCACACGAATTTATAATCCGGATATATATCCATAAGTCCAACTTGAGTTGACCAGCTTCGAGCTATTTTACGTTTAGTCTCATCATACGGCCTTAAAATTAAGTAAAAATTGAGCAAACGTATTTTCTATCTTGATGGAAAATTTTAATAAAAATTAATTCTCATTTTTCACATACCATAACCAAGCAGTATCGATATGACAGTGACCAACCGCGGTCAATTTATGTTGTGTGCTTCCATTTTTGTTTTTCAGAAATTCTTGAGCCATTTTACGACATTCAAGAATTGATTTATTGTCTCCTGGCCGAAAAACATTGATGATATTATTGGCAATATAAAGAGCCTGAGCTGATCGAACGGTATCCTCAGGAATTTCTTTAGCCATATCAAGTATAATTTGAAAGTCATAGAATAGACCCCATGCATCCTTGTTAGGAACCTTCAATTCCGCCGTAGTTAGACGAAAAGTTCTGTTTGGATCCGGGGGATTTATTGTATTACTTCCATTGCCAAACATGCCTATAACAAAGTATCGTAATAATAATTTAATTTAATTTAAAAATCAAAATCGAAATCAAAGTATTTTGACTTACCATTACATGCCATTTCCAGATAAAATTCGAACTTTTCTACACCTTTACAACATCGCGTAAGAATATAATCTGCTCTACGATCGCTACCATCTAATTTACATAAGAAATGAGTCAAAAATATTAGAGATGGAATTTATTTAAACGATATACTTACAACCACCGGTGAGACCCTGAAGAGGAACTCCTTTTACAGTCCAAATCATTCCCTCACTATCAGAATCCCATATGAAATGTACTTCTTCATTTTTCCAATTTTCAGGAACCTTGACAGATATATGAAACCAGTGTGTCGACTAATATTAACAAAATAATAATAAGTTAAGTTTTATAATTAATGTGATAACATAATTGGCATCAAAAATGATACATCGACGTACCCAACTTGGACCAAATTTGTCACCACATTCAGCCTTTTTGTATTCACATTTTATAGCCTCTTCAAAGGTAATACGGTTCAAATTTGGAACTGAATAAACGCGAAGTTCAATATAGTCCTTAGAGCTTTCACATTTCTTGTAAAGTTGAGAATATAGATTTACGTCCGAATAGAAATTCCGTGATAAAAACTTATTACAGCGATCGAATGTAATTCCCCGAACTAATCTTGGGTACGGTGAGGTCATGATTGAAGAAAATTAAATTCCTAATGAATTTAAAAGTTAATTTATACATTTCCCCTTTTTTAATATACCCTTTTTTTAGATGTGTAATATTTCATGTGCGTTGCACATCACCTAAAACCTTATTTCTAATATGGCGTTACGCAAAAAAATAAACTTTAAACTTTTAACCTGATTTGTTAGATAACAAACAAACCTACATTAGTTATTACTATCAAACTTTTATAAAGGTTCTTAAATAAATATCAAGAATTTATTTAAGATCAGAAAATGAAATTTGACGGACTAACTATTTATGGTATTTATAGACAACGAAATTTTAATTGGCCGGTATGTATTCCTAACCTTTTCACGTGCATAAATTTAGGTTAATTTAGCATCAGAAAATTTTTGATTCCCTTTTTTTCAATCTTATTCAAAAAATTTTGAGAAACTTCCAATAGATTTTATTTAATTAATATATAGATTGCAATACTTCATATAAATATGATGGAACGATATAGGCCATTAATCACGCTATTAGTAGGTTTATGTTTTATATATTTCATAATATCATTACATTCTCCACCTTTTCCATACCCAGGAAACATTATGTTATCACGAGAAGATTTATTCGGAGATATTAAACCAAATGGAATATTTATATCAGTGCAAGATGATTGGGTTTATTTAACAGCAATATGGAAAGAACACGAAGTGACTTATGACGATGCTACGGGTAAGTTATAAAAATAGGGCATCTTAATATACTATTCTAATAATGTATTCGATCCTTAATCTTTTATAGGGTTGATCAGACAATATAAGAGACCTTTACTTTCAATATTACGTAATCGTTATGCTCCGAAGAATAGTGAGTGAAATTTATCTTTCTTTAAAATGATTTAAGAAGTTTGAAAGTAATTTTTTGTCTTCTATAGATTGGGAATTTCTTTATAGTCATCGACTTGATGGTCCTATAACACATATATCGAGCTTCTATTATAACGATGGATCAATATCAACAGCAGATACGGATTATAACGAAAATAATGCATTGGCAATTTTGTATCAAATACATGGAAAAGAGGAAATTAAATTCGTAATGAGATTATATCATATAGGTCATTATGAAATACCTGAAACTATTGAATTAGGTAAGAATATCAACGCATAAAATAAGGTTTTAATTATTATTATTAATATATATTTTAAATTAAAATAATTATAATTTCATAGGTGAATGTCAAAAACTTTCATCAAACACCTGTCATATTTCACCATCCTTTAAATATCAGGACATAACATTGCCAGGAACGACTATTATTAAATCATTTCATGTGGATGGTTCAATTATATTATATTCAAGGTAGATGTTTAATGTTAAATAGTTATTTAAAAATTATGCAAAATATTAAAAGCAAATTTATTTGCAAATTTACAGGAATCCAGACGATGCCAAATTTAGAACAATATTAATACCTAAAAATGTGTTTGACATTCCAAAGAGTCAGATCAGTGCATTAACATTTAAAACTAGTGATCCAGGACCAATACAAAGTTTGTAAAATATCTATCGGATTATGCTTCTTAATATTAAAAGTTTTCACAAATTTTAACATGAATTTTTTTATATGATCAGGAATTGGTCCATTAAAACCTGTTTGGAGAAAAATATCAATTTTTCGACGCGTTTACGCTGTGTAAGTTTCTATCGACTTATAAATATGTTGTTAATTCAATTATATCTAATCACATTACTTTAATACCTTGAAGGCCAGGAGTGATTCGAGTTTTAAATGTTGAAGTGACAGCAAATGATGAAGTTTGGACATTTCAAGTAACAGTCATTCATAACTCATCTTCAATTCATAACTCCTCGTCAACATCTGAGGAATCAGACATGAGTCCTTTTCGTTGGCGTTCTAAGACATTAATTGGGGTAATCAAAGTTTTCCATTATATAAAATTATTGTAAAAATTAAATATATATATATGTTTAATTTTAATTTTTAATTAACGTTGATTGAAAAAATAAAAGTATACGCCATCATCACCAAAGAAACTCGAGTATGAACAATTTGATTTTGCGCGTGGGATTGCTCTTATTCCACCAATTGCTGTTCCAAAACCTGTTGTAGGTAAATGATGATAGACATTCTTGATCAATGATGATAATAAATTCACAACAACTTATATATTTTTAACTTAAATTAGTTACAGCAAAAAATACGACAACAATCTGTGTCGCTTTGAATAATATTCTATTCACGTTCGATTATAGCAATACAACAGCAGCGGATTCCAATCCACAAGGTACAAATTCAACTGAAGCATTTATAGTTAGAAGTGAGTATCTTCCTTTACTTGAAGAACGACAATTCCAGATCGTAGGAACTGAAATCAATGCTAATGGCAATTTATTGGCGTTGGTGACTCTGGTAAATATTATTCCATAAATCCATTTATTTTATAACTTTATTAATGTTATTAATGTATATTTTTATTATTATAAAGGATAATTATATTTTAATTTATAAAAGAGGAGGTGCTGATATAAATGACCCATCATCATCTCGAATGAAGAAAGGTTTGTTTGCAAGGTTCATTGGTGTTGAAAACAAACCAAACCTTATAAACAAACAAACTGAAGACAATTGGGAATTAAGAATGGTTCTTCAATCATCATATTTGGATTCTCTTAGCCGATCTGGTTTAGTAAGCTTTAATTTTCCTATTAGTTCTTTTGAAAAAAAAAAAATTGTTAACACCAACATTACTTATAAAGGATGTTATAGCCGTAAAGATATTAAATGTCTCTAGAATACAGAGTAATGGAAATATATTATGTAAGTATAATGATTTTTATAAAATTAATAAATTTATCGGATTGGTTTATAATAATTTTTTTTTGTATTTTTAATTTACAAGTAAATTTGTACGATAATGGAGATATTGCAACGTTTGATTTGGATAAGACAGAACAAGAAATGAAGTTTTGGTTCATTATTAGAAAACAATGGAAAATGTATCTTGGTAAGTTAAATTCCCATTTCCAATTAAAAATTTGTTATATATTAAATAATAAGATTTACTTTGCTTATAGGAATAATAATTGTTATATCGTCGTTTGTATGGTATGAGATTAACGAAGTGAATTAAAATTAAAAAAAAAAATTGTATAGTTATTATATGTAAAATGATTTTTTATATAAATCAAAAATGATACACTATTAGATCCTTAAGCCATATATATTGTTGTTTTTGTTTCGTTATTTAACACAGCCAATTTCAATAAAAAAGAAAAAAAAAATTTTTTTCAGGAAATTGATTGTTACTTGACCAATCAACAACATGCAAAATATGAGGCGCAAGATATTTAACAGGCTTGTTCATTATCCATGTGCCTCAAAAATTGTCTCTTTGCCTTATAACATTAACCTTGCCACGTCAAATTGTTAATGATGATAAAAAGTTTTTTTTTTATAGGAAAATAAAATAAATCCAAATAAATCATTCATTATTTAATTTCTTTTTCCTTCGCAATGCGATACGCGCAATGTGCGCGAGTTTCGTCCCTAATCATAACGCTTCTATTTCCCATTGCATATTGCGAAGTAATAAATTTCAATGAATCCGTTCAAGGTTTACAAGTTCACGATATATATTCATACCAAGATGAAACTATCTTGATTCATTTGATTCATTCTGGTCAAGAAAATTGCTCTATTCCAGCTTTGCATTTTCGATTTTTACATAGTAATAAAACATTAACTACGATTAATGTTTCAGCTACGGAAATACCAGCGTTTAATTTTTGTGAAATTATGATTGAGGGGGTCATGTACTATTATATTAACATTCATCCTTTATTGGAAAATTATATTTTCGCAACCTATGTGAATTCAAGCAGTCCTGATGACGCGAGTGTTTATGGACTTTTGGTTAATTGGAATGGAGATTTGATTAGGTTGGGTCATCATTCTTGTGAACCTATTTATTTTGTTTTGCTAACTTTCTTAACATTTGTAATTAGCAATACGTACTTGAGTAAGGCTACGGTGAATAAAGAAGGAATTGTACAACCTCCTGGGAAACTTTATCTTTCGAGGCAATTGGCAAATGTTGGGTTTTTATACGTAGATATCCAAGAAAACACCGGAGACGTTATTTGGCATCACTTTACTAGACCGTATGCTATTCATTGTTGAAAACTCGTGTTTTAAAAGAACTTTATATAGTTTATAAATCAATCACCTTTCTTTCATTCTAAAATAGTTTAAATAGTAACTTAAGTATATCTAGAATGAAGTCTGGAATAATTGAGAATTCTGGCATCGTAAATGCGAGAACTTCGGGATTCCTAAATACGGAAGGAAATTATTGTTTGGTCGTAACAAGATTTTCTAGTGGAAGCAAAGAATCAACTTTGCGCGTAGAAACAATCTTAATCTCTACTAAAGATAGCCGAACATCCCCATCTTATTTGATGTATTCAAGTGATGAAATGACTTTTTCGGATATTATTACTTTGAATTGTAATATTGATTTTAGTGGAATTGAAAATGTTTGTCAAATTTTCATTTCTAAAGGGAATGACACTTTTATTTTGAAATTGACTTTTTTAACATCCGGGTATATTGACGGTTTTGTTTCTCTTGTGATCTTATTAAAAAATTTAAAAAAAAAAATGAAATGAACTTTCGATTCTTTAAATGGTTGAATTAGATATTTAAAAAATATCGAAACTAAATCGGCGAATTACGTTGATGGTTTAAATGATTTGAAGGTGAATCCGTTGCTTTTCGGAGGGTAAGGTTTAAGAGTAGCAATAGCGAAAGCTGTTGCATATCGAAATCATTTTGTAGCATAAATTCTAAAATGATATCTCTTTTTTTTTTAAAAAAAAAGGTATCTCTTGACAGCAAACGCCCGCAACCAAACTGGAAACTTAATTTATGGTTTCATTCTCAATTCTACTGAAGATATTCAAAACTATTGGTATGCTTAAACACGATTGCTTTACGTATAATGTATTATAATGTAATTATTTCTTTTAATTGGAACAAAGGCCTCTACCACAACCATTTCTCGTAAATTCCAAAGGACAACCTTATACTATCCTTCCGGATAACAAAGTTGCTGCTGTAAAGCAAATTAATGAAACTAATTGGATTTTAAATATGACGAAACTTCCTAAAATTCCCATTGAAAAAGGTATATATTATTTACTTATTTATTTTATTTTTATTTTTATTTTTTTTTTTAAAAAAAAATCTCATATCCTCTTATTTATTTTTCAGATATGGGATATTTTAATCCACAAATATATCAGACATTGCCAAAAATAAACGGAACAATTACGATGAGAACTTCTCATATCCTTATACAATACAAAAAATCCGTCCTACTCTCTGATGGATATGTTGGCATTTTTGTACATTCCGGCCCTTTATCAAAAGACCTAAAAAATTTACGACAAATCTATTCTGGTCAATCAGGATATTGTATTTTAAGCGAAAATCGTAAAACAGTCACGATTAAAACTTTTGAAAGTACGTTTAATCAACCTCTAACTGATTATTTTGTGACGATTGATAATAATTTTGTAAGACTTGATGAAACCGGTGAAGCTATAAAGGGAATTCAAACAAATATATGGGCTTTTAAGACGGGTAAGTGACAAGATTATCATTCACATTTGAGAAAGTTCTTCTAATAATCTGTTTATGTTAAATTGGTTCATAAAGAACAAATCGTTCCAGAAATTTTTGCCGGTAAGTATTAAGCTTATTAAGCTTATTCATATAAATGCAAAGGTATCGAGCATATTTATCTTATCATTGTTTGTTCTAGAATCTACAATGGCAATATATAGATTGACTGTCGGCGGATCAATACTTTACGAATCTCTAAATTCAAAAGAAAAGATAAAATTTGTTAATGAACTTGGCAATGAATTGGCAAAATCCTTACCTGTGGCATCGACACGATTAGTTCCCAAATATCGGTATCAACGTGATCCAACATCAAAAGAACTACAAGTTATTTTGCCTTTAGAAATAATTTCAACAACGAATACTTCAGATATGAATGTATTCAATATTATTAAGGATTTGAATTCTCTAATAATACATCGAGATATGGGACCATTGGCATTCATGGAATATACTCGTTTATTAGACGATAATTATGGGCTTATTCAAGTTGGTAAGATAGGAATATAATCATTTTTTTTCGCGTATATTTTATCTTAATTTTTTTTTTATGTTAATTACACTATGCAGGAAACTTTTGGAACAAATATTTGTTTATCATCATTTTATTCATCTCGGGAATTTTATTAGTCGCATTACTATGTTTTATTGAACAACGTAAAAATCCAAAGGTATTAATAAATAAACCTTTTGTTTTTCATAATTTATTTAAATTTAAAAAAATAATGTATTTTTTCTCTTTATCTAAGGCTGAAACAGCAGCAGCGTTTAAATTCTTTATCGGATTTGTGAATTATATCTTATTTATCATTTTCACGATAAAATATTCAAAGGCAGTAAAAGGACTTTACACAACAAGGTTCCTAATTTAATTTATGATCTATTATTTTTTTTTAAAAAAAAACAAAAGGAAAGAAAATTAATTATGAGTATTTTTTTTAACAGTGTAACAATTATTATAATATCAACCTCATTCAAAGAAACGGTAGCGATATTTTTAATTAGTTATTACTGCAGATCATGGTTAAAGAAACATTATTTGATCACGACCTTATTCACGTTATTGTCAGCAGTCGACATTTATTCATTGATGATTTTATCCTCAAAGGTTGGAAATCATCCAAGTTTAAGTGCCAAGTTTTCTAAAAGTATGCACAAATGGATATTTTGGGTTGGATTACTTGCGTTAATTAAAAAAGAAATTCCTCAATTTATCATTATGGTATGTTATTATTAACTTCATGTTTTTGCTTTTTTTTTAAAAAAAAAATTTTTTTTTAATTTTTTATGGTTCATTCATTCTTTCTTTAAGTTAATATATTATCAAAGGTCATTAAACCTTGACCTAATTCCGTACCTTTCTCTATTAATAACATTTATCATAGTCGTATTTAATGCTGGATGGAGATTGAATCAATTAATTAACTTCCTATTAAAGTCACGAAGTTCAAGTAACAGAAGAGGATCACAGCCTGAATTCTTTCATAAAAATGACAATGAAAATGCTGGATACGAAACTGATAGAGAAGATAATGTTCAAGATACAAAAAAACGCAATAAATTAGCCATACCACCTAGTGAAGTAATTTTTGAAAGTGATAATTTCGGTACAGATGATGAAGAACCAAGTTCCAAAGTAACAAAGGAAAAGAAAAAGGTTAAATTTGATCCTGAAAGTGATGATGATGATGATGATGATGATGAAGTAATGGATTAAATTTACGAAAAAAAAAAATATGGTAAGTAGTGGCACAAAATTATTTCGAATGAAATTATTATTTTTTTTCTTTTCATAGATTTAAGTTTTATCTTTCTTCAAATAATTTTACGCTTCTATTTGTTAATACAGAATACGCTCTTGCCTGATGGAAGAAATTCGATGAGGACAAAACGGTTAATATAATGTCGGGAATAAACAACTGCATAAATGCATTTCCAAATGCAACGTTGAAGTGATAAAATTGATAATAAAATATGCTTTATAAATACGAGAACTTTCATTCAAATTCTCAATTAGGTGATGAGAAAATTGAAAAAAAAAATAAAAAAAATGAACTGTTTGATACTAAAAAGCGTAGAACAAATGAAGCACTAGACAAAGTATGATTAATAAATGAAATCTTAAATATCATGCGATTTATAGGATTATTAAACACATTTATCTGAATCTAAATTTACTGTCTTAGTCAATTCTTTGAATAATAATAATAATAATAATTCCACGGATATTGCGGCCAGATCCATAGCACCCTAAAAATTTCTCTATAAATTTACAATGACTTTCCCATTATTGATCATTATCAATTTCGCACTAAATGGTTCAGGCCTTTAATGTACTACATTTTCTAACATTTATTACTTTTCTGTCATATAAATATTGTGTTTGCTTTGATGGATCTCAATTGTGCTGCATTTTTTATAACACAACCCTTTTATCTTTTTAACCATTAATTGCCGGTATCTTTAAATCCAAAATTATTCATATTATTAATATACAACAGAAATTCACGAACATTTGGGGAAGATATACATCAAGGGGTTGTTATAAGAAAATGGATAGAATGCATCGAAAAAGAGAGAGAGAAGAGAAACCAAGGTTTGAAAAACTTATATCGTCATGAAACTCAAATGCAATGAAAAGATCAATCTTTTAACAACAAGCGATTCCGCACATATATAATAAACACGTGAAGCGAAACCAAAATTTTTTTAAATAATACAAATCTTTATCTTTTTCATTTTCTTTTTATATACTCTCGCAAAAATCTCATTGTACTAGATCTACGTGTAAAAAAAAACTGTTTAAAAATGTGATTTGTTTTTGGATCTGCATTTCTTTCCTCTAAAATTTTCCTGATTAACCAACTTTTTAAGCTTTACTTTTAAAAAAAAAAAAAATAAAAAAATAAATAAATAGAAAACATCAATCCTTGGTGTATTTTCTTGAGATTTTCAAAAAAGCTTTATTGATTATCACTTTTTTTTTTCGCTTTTTTTGCTTCATTCTTTTTTCAAATGATAGAAGACATACCGTTGGAAAGAACAATTTATGATGATGACAATGATTTGTTATTATCAGTTATAAGAAAAGATTATGACGTTGAAATTTATTGTGGTGAAGGGGAAGACGTTAAAGTATTCTTCGGTCATTCATTGTTACTTTGTGCTAGGTCAATGTATTTTAGACCATCGTTAGATGGTACTAAACTCGTCATTTACTTACCTATCCACCCGGATGTTTTCAAAATTTTCTTGGAGTAAGTCAAAAAAAAAATTTTTTTTTCAAATTTGTTAGCTTTTAGATAATTGGATTCCGAGAGAATTTGGAAGCTAATTTTTTTTTTCTTTTTCTTTTGGTTAAACAGTGCCTTTTATTGTGGTAAATTGATAATCGGAAATAAATATATGAATGGAATTGGAGTTTTATTGGCGGCAGAATTTTTACGTTTGGATAATTTAATTAATCCGTTGCAACAACAATATAAAAAAAAAACGAGATGGTTAAAAAATAATCTTTCAATCATATTTCCGCTAGTATATCAACATCCAAAGCTAACCACCCTCAAGGAAGTATACTTATCACTCATTTCTTCGAATCCAATGTTAATCTTTTCAATTAATAATATTAGAGATGATATTTTATATGACATACTTGGAATGAATGAATTGAAATGTGAAGAATCAGAATGTTGGGATTATATTATTGAATTGGGAATGTTAAACCATCCAACTTTATTCACAAAGGAATTTAAACTACATCTGAGGGAAAGAATTCAAACAGGCAGAACAATTAAGTTGAATGATGTACAAGTAGAGGCTTTACGACATAATTTACATCATCTTCTCACGAGGATTAGGTTTGACCACATGTCGTCAAAGATGTTTTATTTTAAAGTAGGACCATTCTCAAAAATTTTACCGGATAATTTATATAAAAATTTAATACGGTATCATTTCGAACCAAATGAGAAACCAAATTTTCCAATATCGGAAGTTATAAGAAGGGGACCTATACAATCAAACATCATAACATCGAAACATGCGGCGATTATAACGGATTGGATTGAGGCTAGTGATTTGGATTATTTTAAAAGAAATCCTGAAGAATTAACTGATAGAGTAGAATTTAAACTGCTTTATGATAGTGAATCAGACGGGTTAACTTCTAAAGCATTTCATTCAAGATGTGATAGGTTCGCCTCCACAGTAGTTATAATAAAATATGATAATGATATCATTGTTGGTGGCTACAATCCCGCATATTGGAAATCAGAATCCAAAAATACTTCTTTTTGGATGCAATCAGGAAAATCTTTTATCTTCTCTTTTGGTAAGAACCATGAAACAATTCTTAGTAAATTTAATCATGATGGAAATAGAGAATTATTTATTTCACCAAATCTTGGTCCAATATTTGGTGAAAGTGATTTAGGGTTGATTTTTAAAAGAGGTTGGATGAACCGAAATATTTGTCAATGCATTTGTAAGAAAAAAAATTATACGAGATCGATCTTACCCTTAGAATTGGAACAAAGAACGGATTGGTCTATAACAAAATTCGAAGTATTTCAAATCATTAATATAAATCCCAATAGTTCTAATTGTTTAAATCAAAATTCCATCAAATTGGTACCTCTAGATAACTTAACAAATTTCATCAAGTTACAATTACCTATCGATAAGATCAGACAAGAAATATTGTTGGATCGGGATGGTGACATGACTTTCTTTCGTGTAAGGGAAGGAGGACAGGAGGATTCGAATTTGGACTATGAAGGGCAAATGTTGGACGACAAGACGACGGTGAAGCGAAAGGTGGAAAGAGAATTGGAAAGTTTACAAGTGAAAAAGAAACAGAAATGTGATAAAATTAATTCACATATTAGGTTGGAAAAAATTAAAATAGAATCTTCTAAAGGACGAGAGCAATCAGATTGTGAAGTTTCTGAATCTGAATAATTAATATCACACAATTTCATTGTCAGAATCTTAAGACACGTTAATAAAATTGAATTATTCTTTGCAAAGTTGTCATTATAATATTTGGATCTTTAAATTCTTAAAATTTATAAAAATTGCGACACATATTTTGTTTTTAAATCCTTTATTTATTTATGTCAAAATTTTTTTTTTTTTTTTTTTTTGTTAAAGAAAAAAATAAACGAAAGGATAATTATCTTGAGAAATAAAAATTGTCTAAATCTATACTCAAGGAGCATTACGACGACGACGAGTTCGTGGACGATGATAAATCGATTTATTATCGGTTAGGTCTAAAAAACAAGGAAAAAGTCATTTTCAATTCAAATCACATGATGATAATAGACGACACGCCATACTTCTGTACTTACTTGTACAAATATTCTCTAAATCTTCAGCGTTCAATGATAAATGTTCTTTTGGCATTTTAAAATTTTTTAAATTTGGACAATTTTCTTTAAATAAATTAAAAAATTCTATTAACAAAGCGTGAGCCTGAACCTGTAGTTCTTTTCCTTTAACATCCTCCTGTTCTAGTTTTTTATCTTCAGGTTTCTCATCGTTTCCTTCTTCAATTTCAAGGGTAGGTAACAATAGCTTAATTGCCCAATATAAACTACGACTTTCTATTTCCAAATTTTCTAAAAAACTTAAATAATTCACTATAGGTTTCTTATTGAATTCTTTCACATCAAATTTAAAATAATTATTTTGTAATCTCAATTTGGTTTGTTCGGGTAGAAACCAAATATAAATTTTAAGTAATTTTGAATAACCTGTTAATGAAATATATTTAAATGGTTGTCTCCATAAGATATGAATTGAACAATAAAACCATGTTCTATTTACTTGAATTATTGAATACAATGATTTTATATCATCTTCATTAACACATGAAATTATTTCGGTTATTATTTCTGGTGGAAGATATGGTATTGGTTTATTAAAGGAAGGTGGTTGTAAGGAATAAATTTGGGAATTTTGTGAAGCTAAGCTATCCATTTTTTTTTTTAAAAAAAATAAAGTTCGATTATTTTTTTTTTCTTTTTTTTCTCTCCCTCTCTTTTTTCCTTGATTTAAATAATTATTGAATATATATAGGTGGTATTTAAAAGAATGATGATATTATTTTGTTCAATGAAGAAAAGGAAAAAAAAATAGAGAAAAAAAGGAAAGATTAAAAAAAAGCAATTCTTAAAAGAATATGTTAGTGATGTGATGTTGTGTTGCAAATAATATCTGCCAATTTGGTAACCAACTATTTTAGTTATGTATGAAGAATATTAAGAACGATTTCAAAAAATGTTTCGGTCCCATATAATATTTATAGTAAAAAGTGATGTTCCGTAAATGATTCCGAAATAATCATATTCAGGTGTTTAATGAGTACATGAACTTGTTTTAAAGTTGCGCGTACCAATGAAAGCAAGCAAGATTTTTTTTTCTTTTTTGGTTAAAAAGATTTCGATATTCTTTAAAAATTAAACGTTTTTATGATTGATGTGAATTATTACTATTTGTTCCATTAAAAAAATTAATAATAACATAGTATAAAAATATATATATATATATTTGAAAGGAAAAGGAAAAGGAAAAGGAAATTCATTTGATAAACAAATTGTTTGTAACAGTTTATAAAACTTTTTTGATTGTTAATCGTTTTTGGTGTGAGCTTTACGGAGAAATATTTGGTTTTGAATCTTGGAACTTTAATTGCTTGTCTTCCAAAAACCTTTTAAGGATGACATTTTTATTTTAATTCCAATTTCGAACCTTCCATTATTCCATTCATTCTGTAAATCTAAATCGATTTAATGTTCTTAAAAGAACCAACGATCTATTACTTCACGGCATCAATAAGTATTTAACAGTGACAATGGGTCGTTTAAACAGCAATAGTTTGAAAGGAAATTAATTCTGCGAGAAAGGTAATCAATCAATCAGTTGCGGATTAATTTTTTTAAACTTATAATAAACACAACAGTATTGTTATGTACTATACATTTAACTTGAACTTAAACAAACCATTCAACTACTTTAATCAAATGATATGTTATGGATTAGAATGGTCAATCCCTTAATAATTAATGACACATTGCACACAATCTTGATATCGGATTTTATTTATACTTTTGAAGAAGAGATAGATTGTTTATCAAACTCTTCCATTAGAAATAAAGCAAAAATAAAGATGTATCAAATCTTAAAAAAAGAATTGTCCAGAATTCAGAATTGCATTTATTTTAGGTAAAGGGTACTCTATTGCTGAACGTATACATGACTTCCGAGAATATTTAGCACACGTCAGAGTTAAAACCTAAAAGACCCATAAGAAGTATCTTCTGAGCTATCAAGAAGTTCGTACGGAATTATACAACAAAATTAAAAGGATATGATAACCTCATCAGGATAAAAAGTCGGCTCACTTTTTTAGTTCATTCATTCAATTGAAGATCCTTAAATTCTTCGCTAGTTTTCATTGTTGTTCATTTTGTATGTAGTAAGATAAACTATTATTATCCAAATTTGGTAGAAATACAAAACATAAATGGAAAAATGGTATGTTCTTTTTTTTTCCTTTTTTCATTATTCCCTTTCTCCGTTCATAATAATTCGCTTTTTTGCCTTATATCACTAATTTTTTTTTGATCGTTGTCATTTTCTTTCTTTCTTCCTTCTATCGATTGTTTTCTACTTTTCGCTTAAAAAAAAAGTTCTCTTTACGCGATCAACAATACAAATTTGAACAGAGATTTTATATTATTTTTACTGTGTATTAATTACTTTTAATTTATTGGTATTTAACTTAATAAAATTTATTTTATCATTTCATCATAATAATAAATACTATAAATATTCAAATTATTTACATTACTAAAAATAAATAATAAATTCATTTACCTTGAACCTTTTCATCTCTTTATGTTATATCTACAATTACCTTTCAAGATAATATTATGTCTCTTTAACATATCATTACCTTCAGAATAATTAATTTATAAAGTTTTTGAAGTAGAAATATTGAGCAATCAAAGTAGTGAGCATTATAATATTTTATTATCCTTTTGGACTACAATAATTTATTTTATACTTTTTCTGAGAAATTTTTAATATTAACTTGACGCCATTGGTAGTAATGCTATGCTATTCATAATCATAGATGGTAGTTTTCTTAAAGGTTTGACTTAGACCTTTTCATATTTATCAGTGACAATATTATAATCACTTTTCTCATATTTTGTGAGAAACTATTTTACTTTTTTTTGATTTAAGTTATTATAAACAAATGCTTATTACCAACCTTATGAATATCTTTCATTTATTCTATAATTTTAGTAATAATCATTTGAAAACTTAGATAACTTGAACTTGGTTTAATTGGTCTTACTATATATAATATGTATATATTAGAGTTTCTTCAATAATTTTACAGAATCATTTTTGATAAATAACTAAGATTATCTTTTAGCATTTTTTAGTGTCTGAGCAATTATAATAATAATTATTTTCTTTTATAACATAATTCCTCTTGTTATTATAATGTAAGTAAGGACTTCAGCTTAAAATCTATAATTAAAAAAAAAATCAAACAAATCTATTAGATTTTTTAATGTGAATAAAAAAATTAATAATTATTATCTTTATTTAGAATAGATCTATAGATAAAATTGAATATTGTGATAATAAATAATCAGATCAGATCACTTTTTTTTACTTGAAAATTTTGTTTAAAGAATTTTATCAATATGTTAAAAAGAAAAGAAATTATTTTTATAACTGCACAAAAAAAAGAACTTTGCAAAGCAAAAAAAAATTGGAAATTTCTAATATTAAACTTTTAGAAAATATCATAATAGAAAGTTAACAGTTACTGATATCTTACATAAAAAAAAGCGTTAGCTTATAATTTCAAAGAAACAAAAAAATATTAAAAACTTTCATAATCCAAAGTAGCCTTAACTAAAAAATGCATTCAGTATTTGGATTAATAATACACATAATACAAGACAGAATATTAATAATAATATTTTAAAAATAAAAGATAAATTATTTTACCAAATAGTTTTCTATAAAAGATTTTATTTTTACTATTCAGAAGAATGATTAAATAGTTTTAAAAAATATTATAGTTTATACTAATGTTTTACATAGATCAGATCAGATTATATTTAGATAAAATTCAATTTGATCCAAATTTGAAAAATTCAAATCTGATTCAATCTGAATTTGACAAATTTGAATCTGAATCTGAATCTGACGAATTAGTCAAATTTAAATCTGACAAATCCAAATCTGTATTCAAATCTAGATCTGAATTTGAATCTGAATTGATAATTCAAAAAAAAAATTTTTTAACAAAAATCTACCTCTAATATTTAGTAAAATAGTTTAATGTTAAAAAATAATAAAATTATTATTTTTAAAACAAAATTTACCTTTGACATTCAAAATGATGTTTTAATGTTAAAAATAACAAGTTTGTTATTTTTTTAACAAAAATTTACCTTTAATGTTCAATCATTTAGTATAGCGTTTTAATATTAAAATAACAAAATTGTTATTTTTGCAACAAAAATCTGCTCTTGACGTTTGGTATAACATTTAATGTTAAAAAATAATAAATTTATTGTTTTATAACAAAAGTCTGTTTTTGTCATTCGGGATGGCATTTTAATATTAAAAAACAACAATTTTATTATTTTTTAATAAAAATCTGCCTTTAACATTTAAAATAGTGTTTAATGTTAAAAAAACAATAAAAATGTTTTTTTAACAAAAATCTGCCTCTATTATTTTTAACAATTATTCAAATCTGACGTTCAGATCAGCGTTTTATTATTAAAAAATAAAGCTATTATTGTTTTTTAAATATAATATATTTCTGAATATTCAGAATGAAAATATTTAATAATAAATGCTGTCTCTATTATTTAGGACAGCATTTTATTATTAAAATTAAAATAATTAACTATTTTATCATAAATGCCACCTCTAATTATTAGAATAGCATTTTATTAAAAATTAATAAAATCAATTTTTTTAATAATCAATGCTATCTCTGATTATTGGGATAGACTTATTATTAAAAAAAATAAAGTTTTTATTTATTTTTACTAATAAATACCACCTTCGACTATACATGAAGTCGAAATGAAAACCCAAAAAGTCGAAATGTTTCGACTTTGGAGGTCAAAGTCGAAATTAAAAGTCAAAATGGTCGAAATTACGTCATATCACATGATTTTTATATATAGAAAAACAAAAAAAACAAAAGATGTTCGATCTCAGTCAATATTGCACCGATTTGTATGAAACGACTACTATTCGATTCTTCGCGATTAGACGAATCCAATGAGCTAATATTCATTGATTTTGGATCATCCCATCTCGAGATATTTGCGATTGTATTTTTAAATCCAGACTTCTTTATTTAAAGTAGAATTTATTGATTTATTTTTATTATTTTTTTTAAGTGCGGTAGTTTCGCAAAATCTTTATTAATAATATAAAATATAAAAAATTACATAAAACAGAAGTTACGAAAATCTCTATCTAAAATAAT